ATCGTACTCCCATACTGTACACAGTCTTACGACAATCATGGCACTAAGATCGCTTTGTGGAACGGGCCTCCTTAACTTCGCACCTACGGACCTCGGCCAACAGTTTCCCAACGCCAGTGGTCACGAATGAGCAATCGAGTAACAATTTGTATATTCCCGTATATATTCATTTTCTATCTACTAATCTAGCGTGTTCAGTTGCTTTCGCTATCCACTCAAAATATTTAGGTGTGACTAGGAAAATTACATTCGTAAATATGAGTGTGTTTGTGGCGCAGTCGGTAGTGAGTCAACGTTTTGAAAAAAAACATCGTGAGTTCGGATCCTTGCTTATAACAATATTTTTAATTATCTTTTGTAGATATTATAAATGCATTGCTGAAAGAATCTTTTACGGTGTCGTTACAATTTATAAGACATCATTAGAGCACGTGGAAAACAGAAGCATTTATTACACCTTTATACTCAGCATCAGGCTATATATAAGCCACCAGTGTCAAACTTGGTTTTCTGTGAACGGATGTTTTCAAATATTTTTGTCGCTTAAGTCAGTTCTGTCATATTGATCTGGCCGGCGGTTTTCACTGTACACGTTCTTAATACAAACTTGATGCCCTGCCCTGCCCTGCCCTGCTGTCATGCAAGCCACCACCCCACACCTTGTGGACCCAAGGAAGATCATTTTATGCCTTGGAGTCACCACCCCCAAAGAAGGCACGTGTCCAACCCTCTGCAGGCAAGGTCATGCTCACGGTGTTTTGGGACCAGCACGGAGTAGTGATGATGGATTTCTTGGCAAAGGGTACCACAATTACAGGAGCTTATTATGCTTCACTGCTGCGGAAATTGCGGGATGCTATCAAGCTTAAGAGGCGTGGCATGCTGACCAAGGGTGTCCATCTCCTGCAAGACAATGCTCCAGTACACAACTTTCATGTTGCCCAGACAGAAGCGCGGTCCTGTGGCTATGAAATAGCTTCCACATCCTCCTTACTCTCCTGACCTTGCACCATCTAACTTCCACCTCTTTCCAACCATGAAGTCATGTTTGAAGGGAAAACGTTTCACAGATGATGAAACACTGATTTCTGAAGTCAAGTCCTGGTTTGAGTCGCAAAATGAGGGCTTTTACCAGCGAGGTCTCCATAGTTGCATAAAACGATGGGAGAAGTGTATAACTCTTGGTGGTTCCTATGTGGGGAAAGACTAATACCTATGCCAAGTTTCATTCCACTAGGTCCATCGGAAGTGGGTCAGGGGAAATCTTTAATGAACACCCCTCGTATGTATACACGAGTGGCATCACGTTTGCATGGAGACACGAGTAAAACACAACGTATGTCTATCTATATAAATATATAAACATATGTTGTATTCACGAGTGACACCACATTTGCATGGAGACACGAGTGACAGCACGCATGTATGCATACACGAGTGACACCACATTTGCATGGAGACACGAGTGACAGCACGCATGTATGCATACACGAGTGACACCACATTTGCATGGAGACACGAGTGACAGCACGCATGTATGCATACACGAGTGACACCACATTTGCATGGAGACACGAGTGACAGCACGCATGTATGAATACACGAGTGACACCACATTTGCATGGAGACACGAGTGACAGCACGCATGTATGCATACACGAGTGACACCACATTTGCATGGAGACACGAGTGACAGCACGCATGTATGCATACACGAGTGACACCACATTTGCATGGAGACACGAGTGACAGCACGCATGTATGCATTCACGAGTGACAACACCTAGGCATGGATGAGCGAGTGACACCATGTATGTCTATCTATATATAAATATATAAACGGCGGTGGCGGAGGAGGCCGAGGTGGCAGTGATGTTAGTGGGGGTGGTGGTGGACATGGTGTACCCCGCCGTGATTTTGCTGGAATATTGCTTAAAGCGGCGTAAAATCAAACTCACTCACTCACTCCTGATTAACAAAATTCAGGCAAAAAGACGTACTTCACAAGAAACGATAATATTTTGGTCATGACCTTGACCATGTTATTTCATTCTTTCCTACACCATTCATTCTTAATAACATAATTAGTTGTTAATTTAAATCTCATTTAAGATGTTCTCAAACCGTTACATTTCCGTTCATATTACCAACATATTCATCATTGTAACTGGATTACTCCTACGCCGTTTTCAGGGGGGGGGGGGGGGGGGGGGGGGATGTACGTGATTGTACGGATGCTTGTGGGCCCAGATCTGAGAGTACGGATTCTTGTGATGGTAGGAAGAAAGTGGCAGATACTACTTTCTGGCATTATCTGTGCGAGGAGAATGCGAATCAGAGCAACGCGAATAAGGAAGCTTCCCCAGCCTTCCTAGGATGAAGTTTCCGTTCGAGGTTTCCGCTCCCGTTCCCGTTCCCGTTCCCGTTCCTATTCCTCAAACGGCCCTTTTTAGGGCCACCCAACTCTCCCGAAAGAACACTTTCATCATTGCTTTACCAACAAACAAACAAAAGAACCCTCCTCCACCTCCAACTCACTCTGCTTGCCAACCTTGATGTCCATGATAGCCTTACTGACTTAAGTGGAGGATTTTACGTGCGCTTTTTAAAATTTGAAGTGGAGGAATTTACGTGCCGCCATCTTGGAGGCGTACGCCTCCCGGAACCGGATGTAACGTCATCTTGGATGCGCATGCCCCCCGGAACCCCGGTAGGGGGGGGGGGGGGGGGGGTAACTCCTGTCACTTCCGATAAGGGGAGATAACTCCTGTTGGCTTGGCTACCAGGGTTCTGTCCTAAACTACTCAGGGTGATGGTGGTGTGATGTGATGCTGAGATGGTAGTGAAGAATGTCTGGTTAAAGCCAGTTGAAAAACGTGACACAGGCGGAAGTACACATCGTGATCTATTTCACAACATGGACGTATTGATGTTTTAAAATGGGTGCAAGATATATATGTATACTGTGAGAACTAAACAATCGTACAGCTTGGGGCACGGGTGTAGATATCATCAATTAAGCTACAGCAAATCAGTTTGACACATTCATATTTATTATTCAATGGCAAAACCAATAATTTATAGTATGTGAGACGTTGATAGCTTTTAATCCTCCTATGACAAAAGAAGAAGCGCTCGACAGAAGATAAATTTGTGTATCTACTGACATTCAACATAATGATAATCAGCATTACTATTATTAAAATGGCTATTGCCGATAATTTGGATGAAGTCAGCACTTTCAACATATTATGCCTTCTTGATCACGTGGGCAGGTCGTCTGCCCTTAGAGCGGAAGGTCGGAGGTTCGATCCCCGGCCGCATCATGCCGAAAGACGTTCAACGATGGTATTTGTTGTTACCCTGCCTGACGCTCTGCATTGATGGGTAAGTTAAATGTAACGTCACATCGGCATTATTTCAGCAATATAGCGACTGGCCGGCACCATAATGTGTCTGAGTGGGGTACCCATGTTAAACACACACACACACACACACACACACACACACACACACACACACACACACACACACACACACACACACACACACACACACACACAGTTCAATGCCTCTCGCTACGTCAATACGCAAGTTATACGCACTCCCGGTTTCCTATTATCGGTTCCGGTAAAAGTAAAACTTTGAAACAGAATTCTAAGGAATAGCCCTTCCCTTGTTTGGGGAAATGCAGTGTAAATTTACACAAAACGTCCTCTGCCAGTGGTTACCTTAATAGCAAAGTTGACAATATTTCACACAGTTTCCTTAAATACATTAATTAGAAAGTTAGATGCACTTCTGGGTAAATGACCTGAACAGTCAATTTCTGCCACTCACAGGCTTTATTATTTCTCGTTGAAAACATGGGTGCTTGCTTCCGTATGCCGTATAAGAAAACACATGCCATATACATTCCGACTTTAAAACAGAAAGCTCCATGCAGTAACAAACAGGCGAATTTCTTTATAAAAATTCAGCATATTACGCCTTAAATTGTTAATAAGTTAGTCATTTCATAAATGTTTTTTACAGTGTTTTCTGATTGGATTACATCGCCAAAAAGCGCACATTACCTTAATCTCTTGCATAACGCTGAACAGTTATTATTAAACTCGAGTCTTCAGGGCATAAATCGTTTGCTTCTATATAAAGCATCTACGTCGAGGCTATGCAATCTTTGTGGACTGTGATCTCACTGGTTGTTGATGCAAAAGGCAGAATGTAGATTCACGATGTTAATTGTTTGTTTAACGCGCACAGCAGCATTCCAGCTACATCACAGCGGCCTTTGCGAAACGAACAAGTGGTTGATGTTAAGATCAATGTCCTAATCTCGTCAGTGTTATAGCTTGGGTACTTCAGCATGAAGCATGGCTCAGGCAGCACCGTGGATAACAATGTAACACGGTGACCGTCAATACTCCTACCTGGTGAGGTGAAAAGGAGTTTAACGTCGATTCCAGGATTGTAACACTTATATTGCAACGTGTGTGTGTGTGTGTGTGTGTGTGTGTGTGTGTGTGTGTGTGTGTGTGTGTGTGTGTGTGTGTGTGTGTGTGTGTGTGTGTGTGTGTGTGTGTGTGCAAGTGCCGACCAATACCGATATAATGCTAGCCCACTGAGATACCATGCCGCAGTGTAACAGGAATACCCCACTCAGACACAGCGTACTGACTCCGAGGCGATCAGTCCTTGTTTTCAGCCCCTTAATGCCGAGTGCCAGACAGGGAAACAACAAGTACCATCTTTTAAGGTCTTTTGGTATGACGCGGCCTGTGATCGAAACCCCGACCTTCCGCTCTGTGGGCGGAACAGGTTTATTCCAATTGTGTTTCCTCTTTTTCATTTTGAACATTCTACCAATGACAACAGTAATTATTCACGACATACTGGGAGAGAAGGAGTGGTAGATCCAGGCAGATTGTGACAAATAAAGTATTCACGCTCAGGAAAACACTTAATTGATTTGTTCAAATAACCTGGGTATATACCACCAATGACTTGAAACACATGTTTAATCGTATCAAATATTTGGAATTTTCAGAGTAATTATCATTATTATGGCTTGAAATCAGATGGGACAAGCCTTGCTGTGACAAGAGCAACTGAAGAAACATATCCTGCTGTCGCGTTGTTAGAGAAGTGGACCTGTACCAGGTTAGCCCCGGTAACAAACAGGGAGGCAGGAACAACAAACTCCCAAACTTCCCAAAGGGTGATGCCGGAAAACTTGTCGGAATCGTACAGCTTATGGAACGAGTCAAGGGGGCGAAGGTTAAAGGTAAGATTTGATACACTGTTTGTTTCATTGATTGGCCAACTGGTTGAAACTCTCAGTCTTGCACTGTGATATTGGGCATTTGGTAGAGATATCACTGTCATGACGATATTGTCCTTGATTGGTATAACTGTTTCAGCTCCGTAGTATGTGGTTTCGTTGAGAGTGACTGAAGGCAGTTTGTTTGAAGGCGTCTGGAATGTAAAGTGACACGTTGCCTCAGGTGGAATGTTAACTTTTCCTCTGGTCTTCTTGATGTCAAAGGGTTCGTTGAAGGTAATGACTGGGTACCAGTCGTCCTTGATAGTAATGCAAGTAGCTTCTCCAGTGGTTGGTTTGATCCAGCTATCCTTAAAGTCTAGCTTGACCGCCTGTGACTTCTGAGAATAGCTATGCAAGAGGATGACCGTTTCATTATGCTGGGAACTAGACATTGCTAACGGCGACACCGTTCGTTCCTCTCCATCATACTGGCTGGTAGTTCTGATGAAGGAGAAACCTGACGTGAATTTGTACCAAAACTTGTACACGTCGACGATACGTGTGGCGTTTCCTTGAGGAGTGAAAAGGGACCAGTTGAGACTATTATGTCCCATAATTTCTTCATTGGCTAAAAGAAATACCACTGTTCTGTCAATGTATTCTCGGAGACCTAGTTGGGTAAATCTGTGGGCCTTGCAGTGGTATATTGTTGAAAAGTCTACTATACCCGAGGGAGCAAATTTGTCAATTCCTATCACTATGTCGCGGCCATATTCACTAATAACAAGGGGAATAATCTTTCCGGTCTTCAGATAGGCATAGTTTTCAACCAGGTCGACAAAAGCTACCAGACGTGCTTCATTCATACCAGTAAGATTATGCGATTTCCCCGAAACAATGAGTGAGTTGTACGAATGAAATGAAAATACATCTATATAGTCTAAAGTGGCGTCCATGAAATTTACTAGTAATTTCCAAAATAAAAAGCTGTTTACATCAGCCTTGCCAGTTTCTCCGTTAACTGTAGGACCAGACACTTTGATGTTAAACCTGGCGTGAAGTTTCTCCGCAACTAATTTGTGAAAGGTGGCAACAGTTGTGAAATTCAATATACGCCATCGACCATCCGGTTCATTTATGGGCTCAAAGTAGTGTGGTATCCGTCCTTTGGTATAGTCATAAACTCCTTGCAGCATCAACATCATGAACTCGGCAGCAGCATCGACATTGTTTGGAAATTGACCTTCATGCTCAGACGTGTTTATCCAACTCGGGAAATAAACAGCTGAAAACAGCATAAGAGTAAACCAGTTACAATGATGAATATGTTGGTAATATGAACGGAAATATAACGGTTTGAGAACATCTTAAATGAGATTTAAATTAACAACCAATTATGTTATTAAGAATGAATGGTGTAGGAAAGAATGAAATAACATGGTCAAGTTCATGACCAAAATATTATCGTTTCTTATGAAGTACGTCTTTTTGCCTGAATTTTGTTAATCAGGAATGAGTGAGTGAGTTTGATTTTACGCCGCTTTAAGCAATATTCCAGCAATATCACGGCGGGGACACATTGTTGCCATGTCGGGAATCGAACCCGGGTCTTCGGCGTGACGAGCGACCGCTTTAACCACAAGGCTACCCGACCGCCCTGTTAATCAGGAAGCAAGTAAAGGGCGTATTTTAGTTCCTCCTGTTGGTAAGTATATATTTAATCATTGGAGTTTCATGTATGTTTTTTGCATGATCATATTATTCATTTCTACGAGGTATTATAATCGTTTGTAAATTGCTTGTTTTAGTGCCACCATTTTTGCATTACCTTCACGATGTGATCATTAATATTGAATTTGAGAAAACGGGTTGATACTTGAAAGAAAAAAATATTGATTTGATGTATCATACCTGTGACATCCCAGCTAGATCTTATTTTACAGGGGTCTAAGGGCATTTACCCTACTCATTTAAAGCGCCAACAATTGATTTGGATTTTTCGAAAAAATAGACGCTAAAATTGAAATAGCTTTTACACTGACAGATTATATTATTTAATTTAATGCTGCAATACCTAAACAAATAGTTTTTAACCAATGTATATATGCATACTATAACTGATTATCAGAGTTTTCTTCTGTGAAATCATATTGCATGATAGTTACTTTATTCTTGGTGTTAACTGAACTCGCCAAATCGTTTAACGTCATTGAATGATAATTTTGAACTTCAAGTGTTACTAAATTTGAGCAGGGTTTTTGTTGAAATCATCTGGAATGCCTCGACTGCCTTTAGTGAGGGACACAAACTGGATATGAAAACACGACACATCCGTCGTCAAGGCTGATGCTCAAGGATGTGAGTGTTTAGTATATGATGGATATTAGTACTATCGATGTGATAGGCCAAACCGATTAACTTGATATCGCGATCCCATAACATGCAGCTGCTGTCACCTAGTAGGAATTACTTTTGATGAGCTCCATACATCGATGTCTACTTGCTCAATCAACTATTGCCCAAAGTTGCCCCAAAGTGGAGGTATGGGATTCCCGACGTGTGGATGTCTGTACAGAAACATGGCAGCAAATTGAGCAGTTCACGGGAGTGAGATTGGAAAACAATGTGACCTCGACACTTTTAACCGCAGTTGCTAAAGTTTTAGTTTGTGAAAATACATAAAAAACTATGATTGTTTTGAGGATGAAGTTTCTCAGTGGATTTCCGTAGCTTTAAAAAACATCTCACATAAAGAGTAGACTTATTTGTTGCCGTTTAGCGCGGCACGCACAAGTATATCCAAGTTCTGCGACGGTGTCCTGTAAAATAGTCGTATCTCGGATACGTAAAACAGTGGTTGATATTATGAGCAACGCTCCACACCGTCGGGTACGATGACACCTAATCAACAGAACTTGACTATCCGATCCTTACGACTAACATGGGTTGTTGAGGACTACTACTGCTGCTGCTGTTGCTGAGAACTACTACTGCTGCTGCTGCTGCTGCTGCTACTACTATTACTACTACTACTACTACTACAAATGGAGAAACCGAAGCGACCCTCCGACTTTGGTTCAGATGTGTTTCTAACTGAGGGTGGTTGAAATACAGGATGCTGAGAAAAACGAGAGAATTTGCATCATAGTTTCATTTTTAATACATATACACACCGTCAAAATAAATGAGAACCATAGAAACATATAGAGAAGTTCGTTCGTAAAGAAGAGATGTGTACCAATTAATGACAAAACTAACAATCAGTCAAGAGTAAACACAGCGTGACTTTATTGTCGGCACATATATATATGTATGTATATATATATATATATATATATATATATTCGTCAAAATAAATGAGAACCATAGAAACATAGAGAAGTTCGTTCGTAAAGAAGAGATGTGTACCAATTAATGACAAAACTAACAATCAGTCAAGAGTAAACACAGCGTGACTTTATTGTCGGCACATATATATATATATATATATATATATATATATATATATATATATATATATATATATATATATATATTTGGACTTAACCATTATTTCCATTAAAAGCCAATGTGAATACTTCAACATCTAAAAACTCTTCTTAATAAATGGTTATTCTCTCCCCTGAAGGAAAGTCACTTGGTGTGAATAAAAGAAGAGGATTTATTACATTGTATACCCACTACGTCTTTCTCTGTTACCAATACGTGGGATATTCCGGCCATGCCCGTTAAGATTGTGAGACCCCAACAGCCAATGTGCTGGTCGTAAGTGCCGACAAAATGGATAAGTGTTCAGGCTCAGTGCCTTTATCATATTCCTATTGCGTTTATATATGCTCATGATGCAAATCACTGATTGTCTGATCAAGACTCGAATATTATCCAACCGCCGTCATGTAGCGACGTTATAGTTAACGTCACTTTTTGATGGAGGTCTGTGATGATTACAATAAATACAATTTCTATCACCAGTAAGGTTCACAGTAAGATACTCGAATTTATCACGGGTTAAATAAACGTAATGCTGGCCAAAATATAGTAGACAGCATAACACCAATAATGCACGCTATCGGGCCCATTTGGCAAAAAGAATTAAAACGAAAGTAGTTAAAAAATTTGTATTGATTTTTTCTGGGCTTATACCCTAATGTTGAGTTGTTCCGTCATGACTACAGTCTTATCACATCAAACATACCTTCCAACATCATGATCATGTCGTTCTGATAACCGCTGTTGATGTTCTCAACGTACATGGAGAAAAGTTCCTGCTGTCTGGTGGCGTTCTTCAGGTAGTTGGGGTCGGGGTAGCCTCTGTGGTTTGCGTCCTCTGGCCACTACAATAACATGCTTAGTAGATTAGTAGATTTGTATGCCACGTTGTACCATTTCCCGATCATTCGTTGATGCATAATAGCACTTACATCTTCTAGCTACTTACATTGATGACGTAATATGTCGTCAAGAATTGATAAACTCTCTCTTATCTTTACTGGTAAAGAATAAACATCACTGAAAGGTTGAAACTAACATTTACGAACAGTTCAAAAATTAATTTATTCTCATTTTGATTATTTGTTTTCATTTCTGTAGTACCATGTTGGGTAGTATTTGAATTGTTATGGCCCTACGCCATTCTTGGCAGTGAGCTCAGAAGTAATACACAGTGTTCATGACGTAATTAACATACGCTCGTATGGTTTTCGTAACTGCGAGTGGGGATATTCTAAGACACAAGTGAGATTGTATTTGTCTAATCTTGAACAGCAAATAATATTACACGAATATATTCCCTTAGATTATCACCGTCAATCCATTTTCAACTTGATGTCAAATATCTCTGTCAACAAAACTAAGTTACGGCTATTGGTTTGCAAGTAATATTTGGTATTACTTCTTGGAAGAGGCGATCATTATAATCTCTGTTGCTCCAGCGCCCACTGTGAGTATGGAGGCTCCGGCAATGGCGAATGAGGTTTGTTTCATCCAGATTATTGTGTTTGTTCCACCTGTTGCTGTCATAGCGAGCCTTTCCTCCCTGTGCCAGCCATTGAGGGTGGATGGTCACCGTAGTGTCACTGTATACACCGCCTACTGTCAGGCTCAACGTGAAATATACCAGAGTCCAGTCCATTTTCTGTAGGGGAAAAAATCTTATTACAGTTAACTACGTTTATAACGAACACGCTTATAACGAACTTACTTTTGACTACGGGTATAACGAACTAAAATTAGTGGTCCCTTTGAGTTCTTTATAACCGTAGTTTACTGTAAATGAAATTATTACAATACGATGACCTGGTTTCATTTCTTTGACGAAATGTATTTAGTATTAAGCATGACCGGACTCTCGACATTGTTATATATTGTGTAATAGCATCTGAGTGAAGTATCCACGAGTTGTCTACCGGCAAATTGACTTATTCTATTACAATTATGAAACCGGGAAACGTAAAATCTCCCTGCCTAACACGCGGGAACGTTTCATCACCCCTTGTAAATCCGACTTAAAAAGTAGGTCCTCGTATAAACAATAGTAACAAAAAATAAATGATTAAAATTTGAATCTTACGGGATATAGGCTTTTCCATTGGAAGAGAGGTCGGTCATTTTGACCTTAACAACTTCGGAAATCTCTCGCGTCACGTTTATCGTGTCGGCCATATTGACGTCTTCTACTTGATGTTTAATGTATTACGGCGCGCTGTCATTGTGACTGACTTACAGAGGTAGTTATTAATTGACCTTTCTCACCCAGTGATGCTGTTATTTGAATACATTTCTTAAAAACAAACTGCAACAGATGTTACTGTAACGCAAGTTGAGCACACATATGCTCATGACACTTCTCTCTTTGGGGAACTATTTATATTCCGCGATACAGCTGGTTTTGTATGGATGTCAGTGGAGACATGAAGTCATGAAGCGCTACGTCACTCGAGGTATGCAAAAGAGACAAACCATTATAAGAATTGACTTTCACTGTGTACGAGTTCATACCAAACCATCACACACACACACACACACACACACACACACACACACACACACACACACACACACACACACACACACACACACGTCAAAAACACATGCAAAGGCAAGTCAATTGCTCACCTGAAAAACACGGGACCATATGGTACAAGTCAAAATAGGACTACTCACAAGACAGTTCAGATTCAACTGGTCATCACTAAACCTCCACTGATTATACCGCTTTCTTATCACAAAGTCTGTGAGGACAAGTTTAATGTTTTAATCTTTACCTTCATGGGCGTCGATTTACCTGGATAAACCATATCTGGTGGCCAGGTGTGTTGCATATGTCCTGAACATTTGTCAGTCAGTTTTCTGGATCTGTTAAAAATCTTATCTGTAACCTACCGATATTGTCGACACTATTTCCTAAGTTGGCGATTCTACACTATCAAAACCACGGACGTGTTCCTTTTTCTTAAATAGCTCACAAGATCAATAGCTGCAATATTGCCGATACGCAGACGACTGCGATTGACGTAGCTTTTCTACATTCACTTTCAAACTCAATGAAGTTGTTTGTCGAGGGTTGTCTCATACGAAAGCATATCGGGGTCAAAATTGAAATGTGGAAAAGACACACAGAAATGCGTTATAACGGGGGAAAATGATTCGTTATTACGGAAATAATTTCGTTTTAAGGGAAAAAAGATTCGTTATTATGAAAATAAATTCGTTATTGCGAAAAAAGATTCGTTATTAAAAAAATAAATTCCTTATATTCGGAATAAAAGATCAGTTATAACAGAAATAACTTCGTTATTACGGAAAAAAAATCGTTATTACGGAATACGGAAAAAAGTTTCGTTATTACGAATAAAAAGATTTGTTATAACGAACTTATTTCTGTAATAACGAATATTTTTTCGTAATAACGAATTTATTTTCATAATAACGAAATTATTTCCGTAATAACGAATCTTTTTTCCGATATAACGAATTTCTTTTCGTGTCCCTTCCATATTTCATGTACTCTAAGTGGAAAAATGTAAACTTCGCTCTTTGACCGAAATATCTTTCCTAAAATAGCCATATCTGGAAAGCAGGAAAATGATAAGGGGCCTTTGTCAAGAAAACAAGACGCAATCACGTGTAATAAACATCTCATTCAACGGGAAGGAGTTTTTACTGTCAACAACTTGCTTGGTGCACCTTTACAATCTGAGTGAGTGAGTTAGAATTTCACGTCGCATCGTGAATATTTCAGCCATATCGTGACGACCATACACTCTTTTCAACACAGGTATGAATGGGTGAAGTTTGTACTTCTTAAAACTAAACCCGATTACACGAATTATTTCCGAACTGCGACACTAAAATAGTGGCATTGATTAAGGGTTATGTACGAGAAAGCAGACTGTTAAGTGAATAAAACTGCGGTCATCAAACCAAGAACTTTTCTGTGGAATGAAATAATAATACGTCTTGCATCAAGATATCGAAGAAACTACCAGTGTTGAATACTTTTGTATTTATTTTCTTTTAGAAAAATATAGTTTTCTTTTGTCTCCAAGGTGTCTTCTCAAACATAGATGCATGTTGCTTAATTGTTGTGTACGGTTTATGAAGTATTGAGGACACTCTGGGCTCCTTATAGCTGACATATAGCTCAACGACTCGGAAACATGATAATTCTACTGACCAGATGTATATTCCCCTTACACGCGTTGACATCGCATGTGACATTTAAAGGGCTGTACACGGGTTGAGGGGTGAGTACCTGTCCAACACATATTCGCGAACTGCAATACAAAATTGTCATTAATTTTGGTTTATTTACGAACGAGTGGCCATCGGGAATGCCACGCGTTTAACACACGACCGGGCGTGAGTGGAATTCGAAAAAAGTGAGATAAAACAACCCAAAAAAGATATGAAGTCTTAGTTGTTGAATGGAATTACGAGTGTATTACGAGATACTTCGAGAGGCGGTTACGAGTTCACGAAATATCGGGTGTACGCGAGTATAATTTGCATCACTATGTTGTCTTTTACACCCAACTGATTCTGTTTCGACGGACAATCGAGACTGATTATTCCTAGCGCTGACGTTTTGAGTATAAAACATGTCACCTAAAAATCTCAAATTTACGTTCGGTTGTCTCTGCCTTGATTCAGAGTTAGTACTATTTTGTCTGAATGTTGTTGTTTTTTCCGCTCCTAATCACATAATGGAAAGTGTTTTGTCACTGGTATTATTATGTTGAATGAAAAACTTCAGTCGAAAGTATGTGATACAGATTTTCAGGCATTTCGTACAAGGGACTCTACGATTTGGCGTCTTTACATCACATTCTCAAAACGAGTTTTGGCATAGTCATCCATCAAAGAACTGCACTGATACAAAAATAAATTTACAATCAAAGAAGGGGCATCTTGTCATTTTTATCTTTAATAAGTGTTGAAATCCATAAATATGTATTATCAGTGCATGTGTGAATATAGATTAGAGAGTTTTTATGTTAATTTTGAAAATGACTTGTGTACAAATTATATATGTAAAACAAAAAAAACCATTTAATAGGTCATACACATTTAATAGTAAATAACCGGGTCATCGTATCAAATTAAGTGATACATCAAAGTATATTCCATGCTGATTTAGGAGCATTACATGCCAGTCATCTATTCTGTTTCAAAATAACCTTAAACCTTTGAAGCATATTAACATGAAACAAAATATAATTCCGTCTAAATGCCATCATCGACTGAAAATATGCATGTATAATGCGTTTTTGTTTTAATCAAAATGATATAGCATCAAACACATATGATAATATACACAGTGTAAATGAATGAGTGAGTGTGAGTGAGTTTGGTTTTATGCCGCTTTTAGCAATATTCCAGCAATATCACGGCGGGGGACACCAGAAATGGGCTTCACACATTGTACCCATGTCGGGAATTGAACCCGGGCCTTCGGCGTGACGAGCGAACGCTTTAACCACTAGGCTACCCGACCGCCCCTGTAAATGAATGAAGATGTTTAATAATATCAGATCACGCTTGTTGTTAACACCTTCGTTTCTAAACGTATTTCCCGGCCATCAACTGCTCCATAATACCCACAATCTGAAAACACTAAGCGACCAGTTTAGCTCATTTGCCTCGTGACACATGTGTGACTGATGTAACGCGGAAGACGCATCATGTTACAAGCTGCACTCGGTCACACAGAACCGTGATAGTCAGAGGGGTGAGTGGTCGCAAACTCACACGAATCTAGCTTGAAGGTAGTTTGACTGAGGTTACAGCAGTCCAGGCTTAGTGAGGATCTTTAAACATCTATATGAAAATGTACATCTCATTTCTTACCAAAAGGTTATTATTATTTTTTCCCATTGAAACAGGTAGATGGTTGAAAACAGAACATAGCAATAGGATTTGTAATTTGTGTAAGCAACATGACTTGGGCGATGAGTTTCACTATTTGTTTAAATGTGATCACTTTGTAGCAGAAAGAGAATCGTGACTTACTTCACATTATATAGTAAGACCCAGCGCCATAAAACTAAAAGAGTTATTCTCCACCCCTAAACTCGGAAAATTACGAAAACCTGCCAAATTCTGTTATATCATAAACAAAACGTTCTCACGATAATGCTATTTGTAATCATGCCATGTACAGTAGGAATTTATGAGTACATATTATTATTATATGTTTTGTATGGCGCATGATGTTGTATGCTGATAAATATTCGTCCTGTTAACCTCCTATACATTACTATACACCTACGACACAGACGTAGCACTACGGCTGTGATAAATCTATGTTACCGTAGATTAGTTACGATGGTAGTAGAACTACGGCTGTGTCGTAAGCGTATGTTAAAGTATAGGAGTTACGACAGTCGCAGTGCTACGTCTGTGTCGTAGGTGTATATTAATGTATAGGAGGTTAACAGGACGAATATGTCTGTGTCGTAAGTGTATGTTAAACTAAAGGAGTTACGATGGTCGTAGTGCTACGGCTGTGTCGTAAGTGTATGTTAAAATATAGGAGTTACGACAGTCGCGGTGCTACGTCTGTGTCGTAAGTGTATGTTTAAGTAAAGGAGCTACGACAGTCGCAGCCCTACAACTGTGTCGTAAATCTATGTTACAGTATAGGAGTTATGAGTATTTTTTTTTTTCGATCAACCTCCGGGGCCGTCAGCTGGGTTGGACAAAACACAATCAAGTCACAGATTCTGACCTCGGGATATGTATCAGGGCATATCACTATGCTGATACTGGAAACAGGTTTCTGTTAAATATTGAGTTACTTCTCATCTGTGTAATGAAATACAACTTGAACGGGCGTACACTTGAATAGTATTAGAGATGACTAAGACTATGTAAGTATTATACCCGAAGGCTACAACAAAGGTTTGACGCTGTAATTGTTACAATGACACACTATTTATTGTTAAAGATTTATGATCAACTGTCTGATTTAACATTTTCCTGCTCAACCGGTTACAAAACTACTGTCAACGACTTTTGCAATGATCTCGACCCTACTTGACTGTCACAGGAAAACGTCCATTGTTGAGGTACCTTTTCTGGGAGATGAGAAATGGTTTTCGACGACGGATTTTAGAATGATATTATATGATAAAGAGGTTATCATGCTTGTGTGTTTTGGGATGGTAAATATCTTGTATTAGGAAAAAACTTTGGAGGGAATTTGATTCACAAGCTGTCATAGATATGAAGTATTGACTTGTTTCTACTTGTGACTACTGTGCATGCTCCTTCACTTAGCAGCATATATGACCCTTGGCCTCTCACTGAAGACATTTTACAAAATGTGTGTTGCAAATTACAAACTTGACGATACACACAAGGAATATGGCGACACACACAAGATTGGAATAAAGTAAGAAACATAAAAGAGAAATTTTCACTACTATTGATCCTTAAAATCACTGAACTTTGAATGCAGTTTCTGAGAAGAAATTAAACTTACATTGCTTGGTAAAGAATGGAAATAAAAATAACAACATAAGAAATTGTGTTTATTCTGAGATTTACAACTTTCGCTGGCTGTGCAAGTGTCAGGATAAATAGATATCAGCACAGGCAGAGGTGACTACAATAATGAAATGGATGTTATTTGTACATCCCTTTTGTATATAACTTCCCCAGTAGCAACGGTACTGCGTATCTCATGGACGCATGAGTGTTTGCTTGTTTGTTGTTGTTTAACGTCGCACTCAGCAATATTCCAGCTATATGAAGGCGCTCTGTAAATAATCGAGTCTGGACCAGACAATCCAGTGATTCACATCAAGAGCATCGATCTACACAACTCGGACACGATGGCATGAATCTACCAAGTCAGTGAGCCTGACCCCCCGATCTCAGGAAGCATCAATGCAATCAAAAGGCCTCAATATGTGTTCGTCTTTGCAACCCACAATTACCCCCTTTTTATCTTTATTACACCACGACATAGCGATATTCGTACAGTTTTAGTCTTGTGGAAGAATCCATGACGTTGTGACGGGTGAACGCTTTAACCACTAGGCTACCTGACCGCCCCCTTTATTTGTTGTTTGACAACGCAATCAGACATAGTCCAGCTGTAGGAAAGCATAGAGGCTAGTCACATACATTTAAAAAAACAAAAACAGGAAAGATATACCGGTTGTCACTCTAAAAAGCTTGTATGCTGTCTCTAGTTTTCATTCCCTCTGTCAAAGGTAAGAAAATTATTGTAAAACGAATCATTATATTCCGGTTGTAGTTCTGGGGTCTGATCACGGTCTGCCAAAGTTTCCGTAAGACATTCATTTAGGAACTTCAAATTGACAGGGCGACGAGGAATATTGCAAACCGTTCCATTAAGAAGATTGACCAGCTCCTCAGTGAAGTAACTTTTCTCGTCACAGTAAGACTTTCCATCTGCAGCACACGAACCCCACTGAACTGCGCGTGGTTGACGTTCTTTGCTTGTAGAAGGTCCTCTGTCAAAGAGTTTCCAAAAGTCAGGTAGCCTCGGAATTGGATTTGGGACTCCGCGCTTCTTTCCTTTGGCCCCCAGGGATGCAGCGCTAGCCTGACAACAGTCTAGTATGAAGAGATACCGTGTTGCGTTCAAATTTCTAAACAAATCTTTGAGTACAACATCTGTGATGAAATCTTCGTCCCGTTGACCTGTGTAGAAGGTACGCTGGTCAGCCTCGGAAACATCCATGTGCCCGCTGTAGTAAAATATAAAAAAGTCCTTCTGGCCGAAGGTTCCCCTCATTTTAACAAGCTCGTCATGAACATGGGATGCCACAGAGGTCCCGTCGGTCACATCCGTCCCGATCACCTCATGTATGTTGCTCTTACTGAAATTGCAAGTGTATAGCTGATTAACCATAAGTATACAGCGTTGTGTTGGTTTTATACAAGGTTTCTTACATATAACGAAGGGACAGTGGTTACCCAGTTAAGCCGACAGGATCCGCTGGTCGTGGATTCGAATACCATTACGATCTTTGGTTTATCAGCTCCCTACTCGTGAAGCTTCTATTAGTTTTGTCACGTTTGACTATTGCTCTTGGGCTAAGCTGACGTATATGGCGTGCACGCCAATCCACTGTTTATCAAGATCTAACAACCAACCTCAGTTCAGGAAAGGTTTCACCGATGGCAGCTTTCATATCCATGACATCGTTTTTGAAAATCTGTTGTTCCTTTTTCTTTTGGGAATCAGCTGCTACTAATAACACGTGTGTGTTTCTGTGGTCTGAAAATATATCGGCATTACTTTAGGTACATATATTATGAGTTGAGGGCTTAGTCCTCGTCCCTAAAGAGTCGTACATCAAACCGTAAGCCCTGAGGCCCTTCAACGAATTTATCTCATCGCAATGTAAAAATCATTTAACACAATTTGAAAACAAACGAAGCGTTTGGTTATCGCGTTAGTGTCAGGTTAGCTCCAGACGACAACTTGTTTATGTTCATCACGTCTATATGCATGTACATACATTACACAACACGGCGTTGCTGTGAGGAGCTTGAGTTACAGGGAAAGACAAAATGGCGATAACGGCAGTGAAATTTATTGAATTTATAAACATTTATTATTTACGTGTAAAGAAAGATGATATATATCTCATTTCATTTGGTTAATTTATGATTCCGAAGCATTAGTCAGGTATTTTGTTTCAGTTATATACGGTGGTAAATATATCCTAGTACTTTGTTTCGGTTTGGCTTATGTCATATAAACATTCGTGTTAGACCAACCTTTAGTAGTACCAAGCACTTATCGTTTTTGTTTTATTGTGGTTCAGAGATACCCACAGTATTAAAATACATAGAAGATAAATGTAACCTCAAAGATTACACATATTGTTTATGACATGACAATGAATAGGTTCGGCTGATGTCAAAGATGACTTTCGTGTTTGACAAACCTTCAGTTGTCTTTAAGGGAAACTTTACACCACGCTTTGGTCTCTTTGAGGGACCTGAAAAAAATAACTTGCACATGTGTTCTATGTGGTCTGTGTTCCCTAGTTGTCACGATGTACTATAAATTTGTTACAAAAAGAGTTTTTCATCTTTGCAAAACGTCCAAAGAGTTCAAAGTTTCGTTGCTTGCAGATTTCTTTATGAAAACTATAATAAAGCTCTCACTATAGTGGCTTTGACTCTAAAACATGAGGGATATTATCAACTGAGTGATCACCAGGTGATATAATTAAATTTAATTTAGATATATTTTTAAAATGATTTGTTACTTGTTGCTATTAGGCAGAAACGATGTGATGTACATTATCACTTCTCTGTTCTAAGCTAAGCTAAGTATGACTATACGTCAGAGGAGATATATTTTACCTGCAGTCTCCGTACGTCTTCTCTTTGGTGATACCATGTGTTGGCCAGCTATCTTTCCTTGCTGGTAAGCCTTTGATGCAACCCGTTTGACAGAATCACTGATTTGATCAATATCATCTTTCAAACTGCCCAGAACATCTTCTTCGTGAGAACAGGAAGCCTTCTTCGGTGGCATTATTCGGACTACAATATAAAAGGATCAAATAATGGTTAGACATATTAAGAGTTTTGACACGCCCTCTTGCACCTAAATCATATAATGTTTTTGTTATTCGAGGCCTTTGTCAGTGGGATCAACTACAAACTTTTCCACGTAGGGCAGTCAGACTTTGGATGCCTTTGTGCATTCTACCAATGAAAACATAACACTCTGACTTTACCCATTCTGAACAACAAACAACAGGTTCTTCTTCTCTATTTGCCCTCTTATTGGCATATGCTTCGGCAGCATCCAAAATTATTTTAAATTGTGATCCCAATTGGTAGGAGGTTCCTCTCGATATTTCGGTCAACATTTAAAGAACTGAAGAAGATTCTTATTGTCATTAATATGATATGACCTACAGGTTGGTACCAGTGTGTGTTGGCAGCCACAAGTAGTGGAATTTACATAATGAGTTGCCAAGTCCATGTTCTGCAACACTTTCCTATAATTGAACAAACTGGATGAAATGAAAAATAAAATAGTTGGTGGCTCCTGAAATTTGAAGTGTAGCATTAAGAATAGATGTTTACAACTTTATTCTGCATGACGTTAGGCAAAGTCACCTGACAAGCTACCGCTACATGTTTTAAATATGTGTGGAAGTATTTTGCCCTTACAGTGTTTCTCATTTCACAACAACAGCGGTACATTGCTAACAATTCATATATCCTGTCCTGGTTCTGTTGTTGATACAATAGGTTAGTTTAAACCGAACAATATTCCCATGCACTCCACCTCATATATGGTTTAAAGTCCACTTCATGTACATACGGCTGTCCTAGTCAAATGCCTTTGCTGGTGTGTAGCTCCGTAATATTATACCAATATTCTTGATAATGCGATTACCTGTAATTGTGGTATTTCTTTTATACTGAAAAACATTTGTTGGCTCAGAGTAAGTTTTGCAATTTAAAAGCTAATAGTTTGATGTATGTCCTGACAAAAAAGGTTGATTTACATTGATTTACATAATATATTTTTTTTCTTATTCAAGTAGTGACTGAATAAAAAAACGGTTTCTGACAAAAATCCCCGCCCCTGCTTGAATGTAAATCATCTCTTACAAATAGAAAAATAAACCACCCCAAGAATATTGCAGGATCAGTCTCTGATAAACTGAACCTTCCAAATGGTAGTTTCATTATTCAAGTTTAAGTGTTTTTCGATATCCTTTAAGCTTTAAAACATCGCCAAAATTCATGACTCTCTCGCATGAAATGCGCGAGCATTTCCAACTTCTTTGTGTTCCTGATTATTCTACCAATTCGGGGCAACCATTAGTTATGTTTGGGCCCTGACGTGCGTTGTAATAAGACTTGGCTTTGGGTTGTTGGCTTGTTGTTTAATGCGGCACTCAGCAATATTCCAGCTATTTGACGGCGGTCTGTAAATAATCGAGTCATACATGTCATCGATCCACGCAATTGGGATCGATGACATGCATTACCTGGTCAGCGAGCCTGATCACCCGATCCCGTTAGTCGCCTCTTACGACAAGCATAGTTGCCTTTTACGGCAAGCATGGGTTGCTGAAGACCTATTCTACCCCGTATCTTTATGGGTCAAAGAGTTTTGAAATCGACTGTTGCTTAAATTTGAGCAGTGACGATGACATTATTGTACCTGGCAGTACCTAGAAAGTACCATTATAGTGCCTGACGATGAAATGGCACAGAAATATACAGTACTCTAGAAAAGGACAAGTCAATTCAGTGGGCTTGCAATGTTTTCAAAAGCTGGCAAATTGCAAGATGCCACCTAATGTTCCATCTTATTTGTACTTCGGTCCATAAGAAACCTTCTGGCAACCAATGATCTTCCATCACAACTGTCGGAAAACATGCTGAATTTTCTGGTATATTATCTGATATAAATGATAAATAGTTATCTCCTAATCAAATCCATTTTAAGGAATGTCGTTGTGAAATAATGTTGAAAGCATGTAAAATAATTATGACATATCGCAGAGTGACTTCGACGAATAGCTCATTGCCCACACAACCAACCAAAGGAGTGACGATGTTCGACTCTATAAGAAGGACAGTGACGAACAGGGTGTATGTTTGACAGACAGTAAAAACTATGTTTGAAACAAAAGAGCCATGGCTTAAATACAGATACATGTATGTATTGATTGGATCATACATTCAACAAGTAAGTATAAATACAACGTTAATCTATTTACTAACCTTTGCAATCTTCTTTTTGAATGATATAAGCTATAATGTTAGAGGTTATATAGAGGCACATGCACATTTTGATTGGATCATGCGTTCAACACATAAAAATACTGATGATGATTTACATGGCACACACACCGTGCAGGATTATAACTATTGTATGTCAGATGCAGATAGTGTCTGGTCACTTGACGCTATAACATGTAACAATAAATTTACTTGTAAAGTTTCGACAGTGGGGTGTAGCTTTATGATACATTTTAGTAATCCCGGTCAGTTAATGCTCACACTAACAGTCAAAAGATTGTCGGAAATGCATGCTTTATATTGTGTATGTTTTTATTTGATCATTTGGTGAATTCACATGATACATTGTTTCATTTTATACAAGTTATCTACAGAAACAGACAACCAGTCGATGTATATATTTTGGACTATCCACATTTCTATGCAAATAGGTGTGAGTTGCGTTTGCTACCGGTAGAGCAGGACATGATGACCCTTTTCGCGAAAACCTGGTGCCGTCACTCATTTTCAGTGATCCATTCATATAATTTGCATCACTATGTTGTCTTTTACGCCCAAATGAATCTGTTTCGACGCATAATCGAGATTGAATATTCCCTAGCGCTGACGTCTTGAGTATAAAACATGTCACCTTGTTGCAGAGTTATTACTATTTTGTCTGAATGTTCCTTTTTCAGTTCCAAATCACATAATGGAAAGGGTTTTGTCGCTGGTATTATCATGTCGAATGAAACCTCAGTGTCGATACAGTATAATACAGTATGTGATACAGATTTTCAGGCATTTCGTAAAAGGGACTCTACGATTTGGCGTCTTTACATCACATTATCAAAACGCGTTTTCGCATAGTCATCTATCAAAGAACTGCACTGATACAAAAATAAATTTACAATCAAAGAAGGGGATCTTGCCAGTGTTATCTTTAATACGTGTTGAAATCAATAAATGTGTATTTTCAATGCACGTGTGAATATAGATTGGAGAGTTTTTATGTTAATTTTGAAAATGACTTGTGGTACAAATGGTATATGTAAGACGATAAAAACATATAACAGGTCATACACATTTAATAGTAATTAACGGGGTCATCGCATCACATTAAGTTACATCCAATTATATTCCATTCTGATTTAAGGGCATCTATTCTGTTTCAAAATTGCCTTAAACCTACGAAGCATATTAACATGAAACAAAATATAATTCAGTCTACATTCCAGCATCGACTGAACATAGGCATGTATAATGTGTGATTGTTTTCATCAAAGTGAAAATAGTATAAGAATGTATATGCTAATATACACAATGTAACTGAATGAAGATGTTTGTAAATATCACAACACGCTTGTTATTTACGCCTTAGTTTCTAAACGTATTTCCCGGCCACCAACTACTCCACAATACCAAGCATATTAACATGAAACAAAATGTAATTCCGTCTTAATGCCATCATCGACTGAAAATAGGCATGTATAATGCGTTTTAGTTTTAATCAAAATGATAACATCAAAATATACTACCCATCAAAAGTTTAGACTCACCAGTGTAAATGTAGCCACTCACTATACTCAACTGTTTCAAACCAGATAATGCCAAATATTCTAAACTTTTTACAGGTACTGTTAGCACATGAACTGTTGTGGCGTAAAACCAGATCTGTATCGGTGAAAAGATTAGAGTTTTTCGTTCATTAATTGATAAAACTCTGTGAAATGTCGCACATTTTTAAACAAAATTCGCACCAAAACGCAGGTGTTCACATGCACGATAATGCACGTGTTTTAGCAGCAATTTGACGCGGGATACTCGTGCAATTCATCTTTATAAGGATTGCAGTTGGCTCTTCTGAGTTAGTGGAGAAATTCTTCTTTGATGCAAGCATGGGTAGAGGGAGAAGTCTCCGTATTGAGCAACGACATCAAGCCTTGGCACTGCTACAAGATGGCAGATCACAACGGTTTGTTGCCAGACGTCTTGGCGTATCCCAATAGGCAGTTTCCAACCTCTGGGTACGCTTTCAACAGACCAACTCCGTCCAGGATCGACCCAGGTCGGGTAGGTCAAGGGTAACATCACAGCAAGATGACCGATGCGTCTTTTTGCTGTTTCTCAGGGGCAGACACATTACAGCCACAGCAGCCAATAATGCTTTCCAACAAGCTACAGGACGACGTGTATCTGTATCAACAATACGCCGCCGATTACGTCACTACGGACTGCGGGCACGTCGTCTAGCTGTAAGACCCCCTCTTACACCACGCCACCGTCAGAACAGACTGAATTGGGGAAATGGACATTTACGCTTGGGTCCCCGCAGATGGGCAAGGGTACTCTTCTCCGACGAATCAAGGTTCAATCTGCATTTCAACGATGGTCGGATCCCAGTCTACAGACGTCAGGGAGAGCGGTACGCTGACGTTGCTGTTGTGGAGCATGATCGATTTGGAGGTGGATCCGTTATAGTCTGGGGAGGTATCACCCTGACTGGAAGAACTGATTTACTGGTACAGGATGGAAATCTGACTGGCCAGAGATACAGGGACGAGATCATCATTCCTATTGTGCTTCCATTCTTAAGGGCCATGCCAGGTCACGCGGTTTTCAAAGATGATAATGCCAGGCCTCACAGAGCTCGCATCGTGTCAGCCTGTTTACAACAAAATGGGGTGAATCGAATGGATTAGCGAGCATTATCGCCCGATATGAACCCCACTGAGCGTGTTTGGGATCTGAGCGTGTTTATGCCAGAGTTCCTCCCCCTGCTAACCTTCGCCAACTTCGCAATGCATTGTTTGAGGAGTGGCAAACATTCCCCAGCGGCAGATTGAACTGTTCTTTCGTGGTATGCAACGTCGATGCAATGTCTGTGTTAGAGCCAGGGGTGGTCATACCCGTTATTAAATGTTGCAATTTCACTTTTGTATGGTACTAGCCAATACGGCATTCTGGTTCACTAATCATCAATGCACACGTCCTTGTGAACAAGGATATGGAGACCTAAATGAATGATTTTGTTATTTTTTATCGGTAGCTTTCACAAATACGATTTTCTTACGAGATATAGTGAGTGGTTTCAGTGAGTCTAAACTTTTGATGGGTAGTATACATATGATAATATATATAGTGTAAATGAATGAAGATGTTTCATAATATCAGATCACGCTTGTTGTTAACGCCTTCGTTTCTAAACGTATTTCCCGGCCATCAACTGCTCCATAATACACACAATCTGACAACACTAAGCGACCAGTTTAGTTCATTTGCCTCGTGACATATGTGTCACTGCTGAAAGGCGGAAGACGCATCATGTTACAAGCTGCAATTGTGATAGTCCGAGGGTTGAGTGGTCGCAAATCGTCACGCATCTTGCTTGAAGGTAGTTTGATTACAGTCCAGGCTTAGTGAGGATCTTTAAACATCTATATGAAAATGTAATCTCATTTCTTACCAAAAGGTTATTATTATTTCCTTCCAATTGAAACAGATGGCAGAAAACAGAACATAGCAATAGGATTTGTAATTTGTGTAAGCAGCATTCCTTCATATTATATTATTCATATTTACTTCATATTATATAGTAAGATCCAGCACCATAAAACTAAACGAGTTATTCTCCACCCCAAAACTCGGAATATTTCGAAAACCGGCCAAATTCTGTTATATCATAAACAGAACGTTCTCACGATAATGCTATTTGTAATCATGCCATGTACAGTATGAATTTATTAGTGTGCATATTATTGTATGTTTTGTATGGCGCATGATGTATTTACTGATAAACCTCCTATACTTTAACATACACCTACGACACAGACGTAGCACTACGGCTGTGTCGTAAGTCTATGTTAACGTATATGAGTTACGATGGTCATAGTGCTACGTCAGTGTCGTAAGTGTATGTTAAAGTATAGGAGTTACGACAGTCGCAGTGCTACGTATGTGTCGTAAGTGTATGTTTCAGTGTAGGATTTATGAGTATTTGTTTTATTCGATCAAGCTCCGGGGCCGTCAGCTGGGTTGGGTAACACACAATCAAGTCACAGATTCTGACCTCAGGATATGTATCAGGACATATAGCTCTGCTGATATTGGAAACAAATTACTGTTAAATATTGCGTTACTTCTCATCTGTGTAATGAAATACACCTTGAACGGGCGTACACTCGAATATTATTAGAGATGACTAAGACTATTTAAATATTATACCCGAAGGCTACAACAAACGTTTGACGCTGTAATTGTTACAATCACACACTATTTATTGTTATAGATTTATGATCAACTGTGTGATTTAATATTTTCCTGCTCAACCGGTTACAAGACTACTGTCTACGACTTTTGCAATGATCTCGACCCTGCTTGACCGTTACTCCCAATACTACCAGTGTACAGTTTCACAAAGAAATCATAGTGATACGATGAACAAACAAAGCCTCATAGACTAGAGACGCTTCACTTGGATAAAGGATGAGTGAATACGTATGTGAAGGCATTTGTTAAATGACAGGTTTCAGTTTAAACTACACAAATGTATATTGGCTGTTATGCTCTAATGCGCACATTCCAGGAAAACGTCCATTATTTACGTTCCTTTTCTGAGAGATGAGAATTGGTTTTTGACGACAGAATTTAGAATGATATTACATGATAAAGAGGTAATCATGCCTGTGTGTTTTGGTATGGTAAATATCCTGTATTAGGAAAACACTTTGGAGGGAATTTAATTTACCAAATGTGTGTTGCAAATTACAAACTTGACAATACACACTGTAATGGTCAAAATGTTTATTTCCATTTCCTATCAATAATGATAGCTCAATTGGTTAAGGAGTTATGAAATCTGGTGTCTAGAATTTCCACAAATTATGTATTGCATATAACAACAGATTATACAATATTAAATGATTGTAATGGTTAGGATGTTTATTTTGATTTCCTGGTTTTGAATGCTATTTTTCATTTTTGATCATGTGCCAATTTTATGTCAACTTTAATACGAAGGCAGATAATCACAGATTGGTGTGGTCAAATCAGCTTGTGGTTTAAGCAACATGCATGGGGAAGTCATGCTTGGAGCCAGTGAGTTCCAATGTAATGGTAAGGAACATTTATTCACTCATTTGAAAAATCATCAATAGGAATTTGTTTAGAAATGCATCTTCTTAATTTCTACCATACATAGTAACTTAATTCTTCATAACTTAGGGTTTGTGGCTGATTTAGACTTGGCTTATGGAAATATGCCCTAGACTTCAACTTTTATTCATAAATATTCTCATGGCCTAAAGTTGTCATGAAAGGTATATGGAATATTAAGCTTCCTGTTTATTTAGTGCGGTTAAGGCATTGTTTCTGTACATTTTATTGGACTATTATGTACTACGTGCAATTTCCAGGTTTGTGTTGTAATTTACCTTATTGTTAAATGTTCATGCCTTTGTAAACTAAACAAGCCCAACCCAGTATTACTGCTGTATTATGAAGTTAATGTGTAACTTAAGGAAATTTAAAAGCCATATACTCAATGAAATCCTGTCTATCTATTAGTCAATCTAATGTTTGTACATGAGAAACAAGAATAAGAATAAAGAATCAAGATTATTGTTTGGAATTTCATGTTGTGATCAACACGCGCAAGGAATATGGCGACACACACAAGATTGGAATATAGTAAGAAACATAAAAGAGATATTTTCACTACTAATGATCCTTAAAATCACTGAACTTTGAATGCAGTTTCTGAGAAGAAATTAAACTTGCATTGCTTGGTAAAGAATGGAAATAAAAATAACAACATAAGAAATTGTGTTTATTCTGAGATTTACAACTTTCGCTGGCTGTGCAAGTGTCAGGATAAATAGATATCAGCACAGGAAGAGGTGACTACAATAGTGAAATGGATGTTCTTTGCACACCGCTCTTTGTATATAACTTCACCAGGAGCAGCGGTACGGCGTATCTCATGAACGCATGAGTGTTTGCTTGTTTGTTGTTGTTGAATGTCGCACTCAGCAATATTCCGTCTATATGAAGGCGGTCTGGACCAGACAATTCAGTGATTGACATCAAGAGCATCGATCTACACGATTCGGACACGATGGCATGAATCTACCAAGTCAGTTAGCCTGACCACCCGATCCCAGGAATGCAATCAAAAGGCCTCAATATGTATTTGTCTTTGCAACCCATAATTACCCCCTATTTGTCTTTCTTACACCATGACATCGCGATATTCTTACAATTAAAGTCTTGTGCAAGACTCCATGACGTTGTAACGTCCGAAACCTATCAGCACAATTGTAATCAGAACTTCAGATTTCTGGGATTAAAGGAACAATCGTAGCCTATTGACATAGTGCAGTTACGAGTACAAAGGTAGAAGTATTAATCAAATACCTTGCATAAGCACATGAGAAATTATTATAGCTTCAAAAATGCCTGTATCCCCGTTGGGATTTATTAAAGTAGGCGCAATGCAACCTATGCTTGTCTTACTAGTCAACTAAATGCATCGGGTGGTTACATTCGTCTACTAGCTTTATTGTTTGTGATTGGGTGAGGATCTTTAAGCGGAGATGTGAGTAGGGAGATGAGAGGCGGCTTTATATGTTGTTTGACAACACACTCAGACATAGTCCAGCTGTAGGAAAGCATAGAGGCTATTCACATAATCTTAGAAAAAAACAACAGGAAAGATATTCCGGTTTTCACTCCAGAAAGCTTGTATGCTGTCTCTAGTTTTCATTCCCTCTGTCAAAGGTAAGAAAATTATTGTAAAACGAATCATCCTTTTCCGGTTTTAGTTCTGGGGTCTGATCACGGTCTGCCAAAGTTTCCGTAAGACATTCATTGAGGAACTTCAAATTGACAGGGCGACGAGGAATATTGCAATCCGTTCCATTGAGAAGATTGACCAGGCCCTCAGTGAAGTAACTTTTCTCGTCATAGTAAGACTTTTCATCTGCAGCACACGAACCCCACTGAACTGCGCGTGGTTGACGTTCTTTGCTTGTAGAAGGTCCTTCGTCAAAGAGTTTCCAAAAGTCAGGTAGCCTCGGATTTGGATTTGGGACTCCGCGGTTCTTTCCTTTGGCCCCAAGGGATGCGGCGTCAGCGTGACAACAGTCTAGTATGAAGAGATACCGTGTTGCGTTCAAATTTCTAAACAAATCTTTTAGTACAACATCTGTGATGTAATCTTCGTCCCGTTGACCTGTGCGGAAGGTACACTGGTCAGTCTCGGAAACTTTCATGTGCCCGCTGTAGTAAAATATGAAGAAGTCCTTCTGGCCGAAGGTTCCCCTCATTTTAACAAGCTCGTCATGAACATGGGATGCCACAGTGGTCCCGTCGGTCACATCCGTCCCGATCACCTCATGTATGTTGCTCTCACTGAAATTGCAAGTGTATGGTTGATGATGTTTCTCTCGGTTGAGTGCATTATGAATAAGTGAGAAACTGCTTTCTCCTTAGCGGTATGCAATGGCTAAGAGAGGTAAATAGCTTCGGCGTGTTAAGCGTGTAAATAAGGGGCGTGAAATTTAGCTGGCCTCTCGCTTTAGTCAATACGGCAGTAACACTGAACATAAGTCTCAAGCTCTACTATGTCTCTAGACGATTCATCTACAGCGGGAAAACTTGACGCCATTTTGAAGAAAATGGAGTCCAATCAAAGACTGACTGACTGACTGAGTATGGTTTTACGCCGCTTTTAGCAATATTCCAGCAATATCACGGCGGGGGACACCAGAGATGGGCTTCACACATTGTACCCATGTCGGGGATCGAACCCGGGTCTTCGGCGTGACGAGCGAACGCTTTAACCACTAGGCTACCCGACCGCCCCTCCAATCAAAGAGATATTGAAAGCGCTGTGGAGGAAAATAATTTCTCACCTAAGGGAAGAATTTCTTCAGCAAGTCAAAGGTTTGAAAAAGTATAAGATCTGCTCAATCGGAGCCTATTACCCGCTCGTCTGGCGAGGCTATAAAAGAAGACTTGATGAAGTCTAGAATTGTACTCAAATTCGAAAAATCACTATGGGCACCTTCGCAGTCTATTGAGTGGCTAGGTCTTCTCATAGATACAAACACCCTGTGTTTATCCGTTCCTCAGAGGAAGTTGGATAAGGCTATTGGAACAATTACATTTATTTTAGTGAATAGGCGCTCTTATCAACCAGCGCGGCTTGTGGCTGCGATTATCGGACAAATGATAGCAATGAAACTAGTTAAGGGAAATGTTGTACATTTAATGACTAGGTTTCTCAGTTTTGATGTTTTGACAGCTTCACCGTGGAACAGCGAAGTTATATCGTCGTCTGACCAGTTACAGTATTGGATAGAAAAAAACCTAGATAGCTAAAAACTCATTGTGTGCTGTTCACAAAAAACACAGTTGTGAGATCCATCCCAACAAACACGCGCCGTGCATGAAAATGATAACTTTATTTTTATTGAACTATATATATGAAGCACAATTAGTTTTTCCCCGTTAGTATATACCGTCTACAATTCTATGGAAAATTAGTCTTGAGGTGGCCAGAATATATTTGCTGTGAAATTGCATCCTCAAATCATAAAAGAAATTGGGAAATAACTCAAATACTTTCTAAACTGATGTTAAACAGGCACGGGGCTAAAATGGTGTGGATGTTTAAGCAGCTGAAACACTGTTCCTTATGGCGTTTACACTAACTCACTCACTCACTCACTCACTCACTCACTCACTCACTCACTATATACCAACCGTTAACAACTCACCTCAGTTCGGGAAAAGATTGAAGGATGGCATCTTTCATATCAGTTACATCCTTTTTGAAAACTTGTTTTTCTGTTTCCTTTTGGGAATCAGCTGCGATTAACATCACGTGTGTATTTCTGTGAGCTGAAAATATATTAGGATATACATTTCAGGTCCATATATTAGATACATACAAGTTGTAAGCTTATCCCTCGGTAATATGATGTGGTGCACCACACAACAAGGCGTATTCCCAACACAACAAGGCGTATTCCCAACACAACAAGGCGTATTCCCAACACAACAAGCCGTATTCCAAAGACAACAAGCCGTATTCCCCACACAACAAGCCGTATTCCCAACACAACAAACCGTATTCCCCACACAACAAGCCGTATTCCCCACACAACAAGCCGTATTCCCCACACAACAAGCCGTATTCCCAACACAACAAACCGTATTCCCCACACAACAAGCCGTATTCCCCACACAACAAGCCGTATTCCCAACACAACAAGGCGTAATCCCAACACAACAAGCCGTATTCCCCACACAAAAAGCCGTATTCCCAACACAACAAGCCGTATTCCCCAAGTAATACGCTGTCAACGAAATTATCTGGTATCCATCATGTACCACAATTTGAAAACAAATATCGTTTGCATACAGCCATATTGTCAGGTGCGCTCCATATGACAAATCGTGTATGTTTAATGCGCATCACGTCCATTTAAAGTGTTAAATTACACTATGCGACGCCGTTTTGCTGTAAGGAGCTACAGTTACAGAATAGATTACATACATGGGTGAGGTGTCGATAAATAAAGACAGAGTATAGTTTTTTGCAGCTGCACGCGCCTGTTGTAGGCTATGGGGATATTTATCATTATGTCATTGACTTATAAATAAACTGCAAACATGATGCATGTAGGGGCAGATATTATTAAAAGGATTTCATTTGGTAAATATTATCAGTAGTATCAAGCACTAGTCGGGGATTTTGCTTCAGTGTTGAAATATATAGAAGATAAATGTAACCCCAAAGATTAAACACAATGTCTATGAAATGACAATGTTTGCGTTCGGTTGATCTCAAAAATGACTTTCGTATTAGACCAACCTTCAGTCGTCTTCAAGGGAAACCTTCCACGTGTTTTACGTCTTTTTGAGGGACCTGAAAATAGAATTTACACGTATGTTCTATTTTGTCTATGTTCCCTTTGGGCACACTGTACTATACATTTGTTGTAAGAAAAGATTTTGTTAAGAGACGCGGTCTATTTCAATTATATCAGTAAAAACAGGTATGAGCCTAATTGTTAAAAAAAACAGCTGTATTTTTGTGGCAGGCAATTTTCATTTTCATCAATGTGAAGCATACTTATTCTTTTAGATAAAATCTCAGACCCCCCATTTCCCAAGAATATCAAATGGTCAGTCCCTTATGCGTAGATGTCTTGTGTGAAAACTACTTTATGGCGATCACTATGGTGATGGTGACCCTAAACACGACGGATATCAACTGAGTGATAACATGGTGACATAATTTAAGATAATTTAAAAAAGTGTTTAGGGTTATTTTGGGGTCTATTCTGATGTAAGTATGGATATCCGTCAGTGGTGATATGTCTTACCTGCACCGTCCTTCCCTTCCCGGTAAGCCCTTGATGCTACCCGTTTGACAGAATCACTGATGTTATCAATGTCATCTTTGCAAATGTCCAGAATATCTTTTTCAAGAGTACAGGCATCCCTCTTCGGTGGCATGACTATTGGGACTAAAATGAAAAATATCACAATTTTAATTAGTATCTATCGCATTCAAGGAGAGACATTACCAAAATATTTAACTTGTCATGTTTCCTGAATATTTAAGTAATTAATTGTGATATCATTACAAAAATATCAGAAGCACAACTTCAATCAAAATACTATATGCTTACCGTGTGGTGGACAGAGGTCGGCGTAGTGCTCAAATTTTAAGTAAAGCTTTGCTAAATCAGTGACGAATTTATACTTATTCGAAAACAGATTACCCCCGAAAATTATCCAAATATGGTCAATTTACTTGCTTATACGCAGAACCCTAGCAGATCAGGATAACAATGATAACGAGTGTTTCCCTGCAGAATATATTATTTGAAAACGAAGTTTCACCGAATGATATCCAAATATGGTTAATTTATGTGCGTGTACACATAATCATAGCTGATTGCATAAATTTCTATTGGACATGTCAGATAAAGCGGTCATATTTTTGTACATGACGTGTGACAAGGAAGGCGAAATGTGCGTGATAATGAAAACGAGGTTTTCCTTGCAGAATAAGTGCATAGAAATGGAAAATATGACAGCCAATTTCCTCATTCGTTTATATTTTGTATGATTTGATACCTTTCTGTACTATCTGCATATCAATTGTTGTCGGCAGGTTTCCATTACTTTCCACTATCTGTATCAAGCTTACCCAGACGTACAGAGATACTGCAATGTCCATTTGGTTTGAATTTAGAACATCACAGAAATCCGTTTTTTATCAATATATAACAATTTGTTTAAATTACTCCTCGTATCCAAGTAGCAATTTCGTAACACTGAATGTAGTCTTATTCAGTGGTCTTGTCAAGAGAGTTAGTAAGAATTTGAATAGGGGTTGCTGGCTAAGATTGGTGCTATTTCCTTATAGAAGGCAATGTCTTTAGCATATATTTGAATATGAATACAACTGGCCAAACGCCACGGATTTTTGATACCATGTAGATTGAAGGTGGCTCATCAGCAAAGGCCTTCCGATTACCTGTCTTAATGGCCTGGTAGCGTCACCAAATACCTTCCATTCTTGTAACCTAACAACTGACATCATATTTCAACAAACATTACCGCATTAATTCCCATTTGAACACTTCTATTTTCATTTAAATGTACAGATAACATAGCAGGAAAGACATTTCCACGAAATGTCAACACCCTTTTAGCAATAGCTCATGACACGCCTTTCCAGGAAAACATTAAACTACGTTCCCAGGTTGTGTTCACTGTTATTTAAAAATGATACAAAATGTGAGTTCTGGTAGGGTACGACTGCGTTCAGTACTGCTGTGCGGCGGCGTGCAACAAACCTGTACTATTTATCCAAATTTTGTGAGTGGCGTTGCTACTGGTAGGGCAAGACATGCTTACCCTTTTCGCGAACCCCTGGTGTCAGCACTGGTTTTCAGTGATGCATTCACATAACTTTCATAGCTATTCTGACTTTTACGCCATTGGAATATGTTACGGCACTCAATCGAGATTATTCACTGACGTTGACGTTTTGAGTTAGAAACATGTCTCCTCCACCATTCTCTACTTTACTTAATTATTCTCTGGCATTGAAGTTTTATGTTTGTGTAATGAAACCCTCTCAGATTACACCAGCATGAGTCGGTACCATGAATAGTGGACATAGAGAATCTTCCCTCTATTCAGAGCTGGTCTGTTGGTTAACTCTTCAAATTCTATTTACAATGGAGACCCGTGAAGATCCGGGTCAGAATAGGTCTTCAGCAACCCATGCTTGCTGTAAAAGGCGACTAACTTGTCGTAAGAGGTGACTAACGGGATCGGGTAGTCAGGCTCGCTGACTTGGTTGATTCATGTCATCGATCACAATTGCGTGGATCGATGCTCATGATGTCAATCACTGGATTGTCTGGTTCAGACTCGATTACTTACAGACCGCCATCATATAGCTGGGATATTGCTTAGTGCTGCGTTAAACAACAAACAAACAAATATTAACAATGGAAGATTGTGACCAGTTTTGAGTTTCCGTAAATAATTACCTTTAGATTTTCCATCAGACATGTTATTTCATAAAATTGTCGTCACATAAAATGTTTCGCGCGCACCAAGCCACAGTCAAGTACCAGGAGACTTTTGAGATCATAATTCTATTTAACAATATTTGCCATATATCATCTAAGGGTTAAACATTCCTGGACATTTTACCACAAATACAAATCATCACAAGCTAACATATATTCACAAACAACCGCATAGTCTTAACGTCCACGAGAAAGATGTTATATTGTATTATGTGTATTATCCCTTCCGGGGAAATTAGAGACGTGGACGATGTTGGACGAACATGTCTGCGTCAAGAAAAGACGATTTATTCTATAAGTAACCTTTATCTGGTATGCCCGGGTGTACATAGAAGGAGTCGTGATAGACTAACATGTATTCTCTGAAAATATTCATCAATGTTCTGGAGTTCATTCTCAAAACCTCAAAGGATTTGCTTCACCTTTTGCAATCTCAGGGGAAAAATCGAGTTCCATTCTGTCAAAACATTTGATCTTTCAAATTTCTACACCAGTATCTCACATTACAAACTTAAGGAAAAGCTTCATTCCTTGATCCGTGGGGCTTTTGTTACAAAAAGTGGTGAACGCAGGTACAGTTACGTATCTATATTCCGATGTTCAGCACAATTTGTGAAAAACAAAAACAAATGCAATCTGAAGTTTACTGAGAAAACAATATGTGAAATGCTGGACTTCCTCATTGATAACATCTACGTAACATTTGAGGTAAGACACTTAGGCAAGATGTAGGCATCTCAATAGGCACCAATTATGCTCCCACTCTTGCGAATCTGTTTCTTTATGCATATGAATCGGAATTTCTGTTCGGATTGGAAAAGCCAAAACAAGGTAATTTGGCCAAGGTGTTTAACTTAAGGTTCAGGTACATCGATGATCTGATATCGTTCAATAACAATCAAATAGCCAATTCTCTTCCACTGATTTATCCAAAATTTATCTAAAAATAAAGGAGACCAGTGAGACCGCCTCATCTGTTGCATATGCAGATCTGTGCATAAAGATTCAGAGTGACAAAACACACTCCACAAGATTGTATGATAAGAGGGATGACTTCAACTTTCGATTGATCTAATGCAACAATGGGTCCACTGTATGTGAAACATATTTGATCCATTCATTATAGGCATATCAATGTAGAGATTAAACCGTTAGTTTAAAGTTGCTTTATCTTACAATATAAGATAGTTGCGCGATACTTCGCAAAGAACAATCAAGAACGAAACGTGGTTAAATTTCAGAATAAAACAATGTTCTATCATGACGTCATTTCTGGAGATTCGAATTTGCGCACGCAACTTGACGTCATATTATGGACGACGTTACTTTTGAGAGGGAAGTGTCTAGTGAGCTGTCCCCCATAGATGTAGCTGGGCAACGCAGATAAACGCGGTGGCCGAACGATCGCATCCAAAAGTAGGAGAGATATGACCATCGGTATGAGGAGAAGAGGTACAGATGATAGACGTGAGGATTAAAGAAGCTGTACATAATGTTGATATCTCCTATAAGAAATAAACGACTCGTGGTCGTTTTTTATCGTACAATAAAACACTGCAGGGAGAATAAACCACTCAGGCAGCGCCCCTAATGGTTTATTCTCCCTCGTCGTTAAATTGAATAGTTGTGTTTCCGTCACCATTGTAACTATATAGCCCATATAAGGTGCTAAACAGGTTTTGCTCTCTTTTATGTGTTTTGACCTGTATTGTGGCAATTATCAAAATGCTAAACAAGGCAAGATGACCAAACGCATCCGAATTGTTTTGTTTTTTAAATTAAAGCTAGCAGGAAGAACCTGATATCATGACAATGAATACTGTTTATTTTATATACTGATCTCTCTGATATTATGTTTTATAATATTTTGTAAACACCAAGGGTATCCTTATGGGGTTAGCCCCGTATTAAATGTATGGGTGTATTCACCTGTGGAATTGCAGTGATTGCTTGAGGCGTTGTGGTGCCGTACGTTGTTTCACGAACCAGAGAGTGACATGAGGTGAGGTAGCGACGTACATGCTATGTGTGTGGCTGCTTGTACTAGTCCCCACTGATGCCGATTTATAGTGCTAGCACACCGAGATCTGCCGCAGTTTAACATGAATACCCCACTCAGACACAGTATACTGACTCCGAGCCGAGCAGTCCTTGTTTTAGCCCCTTAATGCCGAGCGCCAGACAGGGTAACAACAAGTAATATCTTTTAACGTGTTTTGGTATGACGCGGCCGGGGATCGAACACCGGACCTTCCGCTCTCCGGGCGGACGCTCCACCACTAGACCACGGAGGCGATCGAGAGTGACATGAATAGAAATGGTGTGGGAATAATGTGATTTTACTATTACGGGATTTTCTTGTCATTGTTATGACATTTAAGGGCCATGTTCCTATGACTGGTCGCTGGCCTTGCATATCATCCATGAACTGGAAATGTGCTCTGTTTGGTCTGGAAGGAAAGTTTCTGTTTACATTGTCAACACAGATCAGGCATACTGGGATCAATCATCTCGTATATTTATTCACAAGTAAAACATTTTGTCCGCAGTGAAATGATGTGCAGGTCACTGGCTGATAAAACATTTGTTTGTTTGTTGTTTGTTGAAATTCAAAACCGCTCATTATCTTCCATTGTTAAAAGTTGTTTGTTGTTTAACGCCGCCCTAAGCAATATTCCAGCTATATGACGGCGGTCGATAAATAATTGAGTCTGGACCAGACAATCCAGTGATTGACATCATGAGCATCCATCCACGCGATTGGGATACGATGACAAACATCAACCAAGTCAGCGAGCCTGACCACCCGATCCCATAACCGCCTCTTACGACAAGCATAGTTGCCTTTTACGGCAAGCATGGGTTGCTAAAGACCTATTCTACCCCGGAATCTTCACGGGTCGTGATAATACATAAACAAGTTTATTTCATATGTGTAGGCAGCAAACTTGCAGTTTCATGACTAAAAAGTGTTTGAAGTGACCTCAAACCTTATCGACATGTAGTTCATCAAAGTGTAGCAAATACTTTTCATCAGTGACTTTGTCCAACATGTTTGGTGCAAAAACACCTTGTTCAGGACGTTGCATTTCCTTAACCGCGGTGTCCTATCAACGTGCTATTTAGTCTAAAT